TGCTGATAAGAGCAGACACCACTAGCACCTGGGGAGAGGCTCCATCTTTTGGTGGGGAGCATCAGGGCAGAATTAAAGCACTGATAAGAACCATGGTGGTGGTGGACTGGGTAAGAAGAGCGGAGGGAGGATCCCTCCCAAATGGCAAAAGGTGGTTTCTTTTCACATGGGCAAGAGCGAACCAACTGACAGCTGTGACTCTGGAAGGGAAGCTGGCTTTTTCGCCCTGGCTGCTTTCAGAACGAGGCGTGGGGGATACGGGGATAGAGGACCTGGTTTTTCCGTCCAGATTAGATCCACAGGAGGACCGAAGCGCGCCCTTAAAGTTATGGGAGCAAGGAGGAGACTGCATAGAAGCTGAGCCGTGTCAGGCTTGGGGGGTCGGATAGACCCTGTGTTGAAGTAGGATAGCAACACTAGAGGAGGATAAGAGGTTGAGTTAGAAAGTGGGGGTAAAGGGGGAGGTTTTTAGTAGGGAGTAGGTGGGGAGAACTAATTAGAGAGGTAGACTGGGTCCATCGGAGGGGCGGCTCTGGGATCATTCTGTTTTTGATCTGTGTCTTATCTTGGTTGTTTTTCTTTTCTTCTTTTTCTAACTCACTCCTATAATTCCCTCTAGTACACCTGCTGGATATCTGTTGGGCCCACTTTAGGGCCGCATGCCCTTCTAGCAGTTGGCTATACCTTTGTTGGAATTATATAAGCTAAACCGGGCGGGTGATGCTGCCGGGATAACACCGGGGGCCATGTCCCACTTGCACCGTTGAGTTGAGCTAGCTCAACGGTGCGACACGGTTTTCGTGATTAAAAAACTATTTTCTCGCATTTCTTGTCAATTCCATAAAGACCTTTTCGACAATTTTTTGTATTCTGTGAATATATTGAAAAATAAAAGAAGTAAAGGCGAAATCGTTATTATTACTCCCTGTGCCCGAATCTGTGAAGAACCTCATGCGCTGTGCTTACGGAGTGTAGTCTGACACTACGCGCCGATCAGGGCGCCTGGCACGACGGCAATCATGAACCTGCGTCCGATAATTTTTCGTTTTCGGGGGAAATCTATCCGAGCAGCCACCGTTGAACTACCTACCCCGTTTTTGAAAAGGCAGCTAGTTCAACGGAAGTGGGCCAGGGTAGGGGCGTTCTAATCGGGGGCGGCCACATTTTCCCCTTCGTTTAGACCCAAAAAAAAACCCGAAAGTCGTTTATCATTTCACAAATAAATTCAACCGCCCGATGCCCCGCTCCTCGTGTGATAGTGTGAGTCGCCCCAGGTCACACGTAATAGAATAGTCAACGTTGAGCTAGCTCAACGGTGCAAGTGGGACATGGCCCCGGGTTGAATTGTGAGGTCCCCGGCATCGAACTTTTACATTGGGAATATGAATTCTGGTTAAAAAAAAAAAAAAAAACACATGAAAAAAATGGCTGTCGGTCTGTGACTCTTCCTTACCCAAGGGGACTGAGGTCAACTGCTAAAAAAAAAAAAAAAAAAAGAAGTCAACTGCTTGGATTCCGCAATACTACGATAGGACTTCTGGGATTCCCCACCCAGACAGATGCATCTGCACACAGCCGAAATCGAGGTCTGATACATTTTAAAAAGTGCTTGTGTGAGCATGCAGAAAGTGGTGATCCCCCCTTTTTTCAGAGGGATAGCGCCCGTTTGGTGGCCTTTGCGTTTTCTTTTCTGTCTTCTTTTTTTTTTAATTCCCATTTTTCCCCGTCGCAGCTCTAGAATGTCTTTTATCCCTTACCTACTACCGTCTTCACCCGAATCGAACGCCCGGTCATTATAGCCGTACTCGGAGCAACTTTCCGTCTAGATACAGGGATAATGACCGGGCGTTCCATTCAGGTGAAGACGGTAGTGGGGACCATCACTGCTGAAAATATGGCAATAGGAACGAAAAATAGCCAAAGAAAAAAAAAGAAAATGAAAGAAAAAACATGACAATACCCATCATATCTCAAGGCTTGCCACGTGGTAGTCTTTAATAGAACGGCCAGCGGCCAGTATTTTTTTTACTTTTTTTTAATAATAAATTTTCATTTTAAAGATTAAAAAATTTTGGAACATTTCTCGATTTATGCGTGTCATCCTTGCGCAGGGGCCATGCTAATCTTCTCTGTATCGTTCCAATTTTAACGGATGTCCCAAAAGACGCGGCCAGTATTTTGAAGTTTATTCTCATCGGCTTTTTTTATGTTTTGCGAGAGGAATAAGCAAAGCGATAAGGGTCCCTAAAAGAGGCCATTGTGCTCACCTTCTCTACCTTATTCATTCGTCCTTGGAGGGGATCTGGTCCGTTTGGAAGCGTTGTCAATTGCCAATTGCCACGGCCCATTGAAAAATGGGCAAGGAGGTTGGCTTGGGAAGTTGGCAGTTGGAGCCAGACAGACGGGAAGAGAGACACGACCACCATTCATTCCTCTCCCCTCCCCCCTCTCCCCAACCGACCACGCAAGTGTACACAGAGAGAGAGAGAGAGAGAGAGAGAGAGAGAGAGGCGGAAAGACGTAGGAACATAGAGAGAGAGAGAGAGAGAGAGAGAGAGAGAGAGAGAGAGAGAGAGAGAGAGAGAGAGAGAGAGGCGGACAGACGTAGGAACAGAGAGAGAGAGAGAGAGAGAGAGAGAGAGAGAGAGAGAGAGAGAGAGAGAGAGAGAGAGGTTCTTTTTTTGACGGAAGGACAGACGGAGGGAAGAGAACCGATCTGGGTAGGAAAACGTCCAACTTGGATCCTGGGCCTATACTAGGATAGTATAAATTCCAGGCGTTACAGAGAGGTTGGCGAACTTGCCTCTTTTGCACATCCTCATGGTGCTTGTGAGCTGGATGCGAGGCGCTTGTTTTGCCTCTGATTCACAACAGGAGTGGAGTGTAGCCTTCGTCATCCTACTACGGTATGCTGTCCGTTTACACTTCAGCAACCAGAGGTCCAGAGCGAGGGACGTGGCCTTCGATCTCTTCCGTTCTCCTTTCTCATCTTCGTCCGTCCTCCTCCTCCATCCTTCCGTCTCTTCCTCTCTCTCACTGTCCCTTCACTTCGACGCTTCCGCGACCAGACCAACTTCACTGACTCAGAGTTCACTCTACTCGTCTGACTCGTCTCCATGCCTCAGGCTGGTCCTTGTCTTTTTGGGGAATCTGCTTAGTATCACCGAACAAGAGAATCTGCCCAGTGTTCAATTTTCTACGAGCTGAACGCCCTCGGGGGAGTTTGCGTTATTCCTTATCTTCGTCCCCTCCCTTTCCTCTTTTCTGAATGAATGGCTATAAGCGTTTTTCACTTGGCTTACATGTTGCTTGCGGTATTTATCTATTCTGTCGGTTGGTTTCCTGTTCGGTGACTTCGGTCGATGATGAGCTACATAGCTCCATGACCAGCAGAGGCGAGCAGAGGCGAGGACACGTCAGGCTGACACCTTTCCCGCTATATTGATAGCTCCAGCTCTAGCATACTTACTGTCTAATATGGGCCTGGCTGCATCACTCTCGAAATGTGCAAAACGAGAGTGAATCTTCCGCTAGAATATGGGAAGATGCACGGCCATAATTTTTGTCTTTTGTGCATGTGGAGAGTAGTGCAGCGAGCCCGCATAAGGATAAGGATAAGCATGTAGTCGTACTGGGCCTCGCAGGTACACGACTAACCAAATGTGCAAAATGAGAATGAACCTTCCTCTAAAACATGGAAAGAGAGATACACAGCCAATTTTTTTTTCTGTCTTTTATGGAATTCAATGTGGAGTGTAGTGGAGCGAGGCTGTATATATCGTTGTGATGGTGGTTGAGTATTGGTGGCGATGA